TATGTGAGAATTTATGTACAACATAGCCAGTTTACTAGAAATATATGTTGTTTTTTTTCTGTTATTTGTTTCTTAGAAGTACAGTGGAACCCCGGTTAACGAACGTAATCCGTTCCACGAGTCCGTTCGTTAACCGAAGCAATTTTTCCCATAGAAATTAATGCAAATACAATTAATCCGTTCTAGACATCAGTATTTTTGTAATTTTATTTGTAAAATGGGTTTTCTTTAATGAAAATATAGGAAAACGTGCTCATAAACAGTCGATCTAGGTTAAATTTTTGGAAAAGGGGAAAGATTTGACGGGTATAAAAACATCACATACGGTTGTTAAAGTTCTAAAATGACAGATAGCAGAAACAATAGGCTAAATTATGAGCGAAAGGCTTATAGGTTTATCAACAATCTCTGATCAGAGTCGACGAACAGGTGTCAAATAAACGCCTCTGAACAAACCTTTCTCGTGACCTGATCTGGTTTCGGTTTTCACCTGGAGACAAAGAAGAAAATGATCGGGAAGCGAGGAATGGGACGCATGACTAATCGGAAGGTGAGATTCAAGGAAGAAATACTATAAAAACCCCGAATCTCAAGGTCAAAACGCAGTTTTCCTAAAAATTCTATGGCAATTAATCTGTGTCGTCTTCATCTGGATTAAGCCTGAAGTCGTGCCCGCTAAAATTTGTGTTGTCTCGTGGACCGCTCCAGTCGTTGCAGCTCTGTCACTTACCATCGCTTCTGTGACCAAGCGAACCCATCTCGTCCGCTCTGGGGCTACGACTGATCAGCTTGCACTATCGTAGGACCAGCGATACGCCACTCCTCAGTGCCGAGAGAAAATACTGTAGATAAGCCATTTCCAATTATCTGAAATATGTAAGTATCTTCCTGTTCTAATAAACGATTTTCACTGTAAAATACTTGTCATCTTTGTCTCTTCCGCCACCACCAACGTACGAATGGACCCTAGACCATCACCGACACACGATTAACTGATTTTCCCTAAAAGTCGGCAAGCTTACAAATTTGACTCAAAAAGCTGTTAAGTTTGTTATCCGAGACAAAATTTTTCCAAAATAAAAGTTCGTTAACCGGGGTTCCACTGTATCATTAAAGTATTTTGAATGTTTCATTAAGAGTAAAGATCAAACTTTTTATGTGCAATTTTCTTTTAATAATTAAGAGTTTTTAGCAAAATTTACAGATATAAAAATAATTATAATGCTAGATTTATGTTGTTGTATTTAGCATTTATGGCTTAGTCATTGAATTTCATGTCATAGTTGCGAGTTGAGAGATTTTGCTAAATTTTGCAAAGAAGAATTGGAAGAATCTTTATTCTTTTACATAATTGATTCATTGTCTCATGAGGAATTGCATGAAGAATGGAGATAATATGGATGATGAAAAGTTAAAATAATTAATTTATGTGCATTATTTATATACAGGTTGAGAATCCTTTATCCAAAATTTAAAGAAACCAAAAACCCAAAAGTTTGAGTGTTGACATGACATGCTACTGGGTTGTTCCAGTGTTCTCTTCAGATCCTTTCTGGCTGTCCATCTAATAAACTTTAGGAGAAGTAAGTTATGAACATACAAAAAGTGTGACACTGATTTGGAAGATATGGCATCCACCTCATTAATATCTCCCAAACCAATCCAAGGACTCGTAATAATAGCAATTATTATTAAGGATGAAAATGAATAAAGAATGCTGGAAAAATTCAGCAACAATGTTGCCAGCTTTTTTTTTATTTTGTCTACTAAGGTTTATTGTTGTCAATAACATTTTGCAAATTGAATTAAATTAACTGTTTGAATTATATGTAATTTTTTTTTTACAGAATGTAATTGAATCAGTGCCAATATTTACAATAGAGTAGATTCTACAGGAAAAATAAGCCTAAACTCCTCTATGTAAAGATTTTTTAAAATACACTTTGTTTTTGAGATATGCCTGCCAAAAAGGCACTTTAAAAATTTCTCACAGAAGTACTAATAATAGAGTTGCCAAGTCTTTAAAGAAATTTTGTTCTGTTTTTTGCTTCTGTCATCTGATTTAGGTAATAATGACTGCCATTCACTGCTGTGTTTATTGACTGATGTAAGTAAATATTGCCTGAATAAACTCTTTGCAATAAATGTAAATGAAGCCTTATCCACTTTTAAGATTTTGCAGCATACATCTGCTTTAGAATAAAAATAGTAGTTGAAAAGCAAGAGTTTTTCAACATAAATTTACTTTGAATAATATTTCTCTTTTTACAGAATTAAACAGAATAATTAACAAGAACTGTTTAGTATGTTTTCTGTGGTCACAGATATTTGCTTCTTATAAAAACATGTGAAGCTTGATGATCATATGAAAACAAGCTTATTTTTGATGTATTTGAAAACCAATTTTCAATGTTTAGCAAGCTTCAGTTTGTATGTGTTAGTAGCATAGAAATGGAAAACGAACAGTAGTATACTTTTGTGGAAGGTTTAAAATCAGTTTTTAATAAGAATTTTTGGCAGGCCTTATCTCAAATGAAGTAGATTTTGTAAAAATCTTTATAAAGAAAAGCCTTATAAAGATTAAAAACATGCCTTAAAATTGAACATTTTATATATACAAAATATTCGATTTGAAAGAATATTTTTAAATCTATATTCTGCAATTTAAATATAGAATATTCTCTTATCATACACTTTTATGTTTAATATATTTTTAGTACTGACAAATAACAGTGAAGTGAAATTTTGGAAATGCTTTCTTTGTCATACAGTAGTCACCACTGAACTTAGACCAGGCTGCAGTTAACATGTTATCCAATAAATAGGTTTAAAAAAGTACCTTTGATTCATTGCAAGAATCTTTTACACAATTTAGAATAAATATACAATAATTAATCTTTATTTTTGCTAAATGTCAACTTGATATCTTGCAAGTTTAACAAAATTGAGCCAGTCAATCTTGAGTCACAGGCATTAAAAAACATAGACCACTATGTCACCCATATCAATGAACATAGATCAACCGATAATTTGCATTTAAATAATGTTACAATTGCAGTATTTATGAAACAATTGATTATTTTAGCCTCACTTTAGCTTGCAGTAATCCTGTGAATGATATAAGTTGCTTTTTTAGTTTTATTTACGAACCTTTGCATTTTGTCTACATTGACCAGCGGAAAAGCTGTTTCAGAGGATTTAAGGAATTCTATCATTGCTAAACAAAATCATGGCATGTCTGAGAGAGCTATTAGAACAGAGCTAATGTTAAGCAAGACAACAGTGCACTAGATTATTGTTTATTACACTAACCATGGCCATATTATACCTAACAAAGTTGCTGAACATAGCAAAAAGCTTCAAAAGTTGATGATAGGCATTTTAAAAGAATCATAAAAAACAACTGCCATGCCATAGATATTGAATGTAACTATAATATGGAATGATACAACTGAAAATAATATATCTGTTTCGACAACACAAGGAGACTGGAAGAAATGCATTTCCAGTTCTATGCAGCACACGAAAAACCTTTGCTAACAGCACATCAAAAGAAGAAACAGGTACAGTGAGCCAAAGAACATCTTTCCTGGTCTCAACAAAAGTGGCATGAAATTCTGTGGTCTGATAAATCAAATTTTGAATTATCAGCAACAGACAAAAGCAAACATGCCATTCGATCTGCCAGTCAAGTTAATGAGCCACCGTTGTTATACCACTCAGTGAAAGTTTCCTGCCCGCTTCATGGTTTGGAGATGTATGAGCGCCAGTAGTATGGGTCAATTGACATTTATTGATGGAACACTTGCTTTAGAGCAATACATTAACATTCTACAACAGTATTTACTTCTGTCCATAGCAAAGCTATATCTAAATAGAACCTGCATTTTCCAGCAGGATGGGCCACATGTCATACAAGCAGAAAAACAAAACAGTGGCTTGCAGAAAAGTTCTCCCTTGACCATCCAACAGACCATATCTTTCACTAATTGAGAATGTATGGAACATTATGAAGAGATGTCTGTGAAAAACACACCCTCGGACAGTTGAAGGACTAAAAGCTTCCATCTTAACTATCTGGAATTCCATAATGGCAGATGAATGTGAAATGTACGGAAGATGTTTTGGCCACAAAGGTGATGCAACAAAATATTATACATGCAGTGGTCTATGTTCATTGATGGGGGTTACGCAGTGGTCTATGGTTTTTGATGCCTGTGACTCAAGATTGACTGGCTCAATCTTGTTAAACCTGCAAGATATCAAATTGATATTTAGCAGAAATAAAGATTAATTACTGTATATTTATTTTAAATTGTGTAAAATATTCATGCAATGAATCAAAGGTACTTTTTTTAAACCTATGTATTGGATGACATGTTAACTGCAGTCTGGTCTAAGTTCAGTGGTGACTACTGTATATTGACTTTTTGTCTAGGCTCTGTTGCTTAATTTTGCTTATAGATTTAATTATTAAATAAATTTAAGTAAAAAATGTTTTATCTCATCCTTTTTTCATGAATTTTAACTTTCGAAGAAGGAATTGTGTAGCTTTATGTAATTGTTTGTTTTTCAAATACATTCTTTTGTATAATCAGTTTAAAAAAATAATAAAATTTAAATATTAAAAATAATTAAAATGTTTGTTTGATAGGATAAAAGGAAAATAAGCATGTCAAAACTTATTGAATGTTGTATTTGAATGTATAGAAAATATAAATGAAACTCTATGTAATTATTTTTAATACATTACAGATACAAATACATTGTCAAAAGAGTTAAACCAGTTACATTTGTATTTTTCAGAAAATTCAGCAATAAAAAATTGATAATTGAACAGACAAATACATTTAAAAAGTTTTTTTTTAATAAGATATGAATTATTGTTTTCAAGTAGTTTTCATCTAATATATAAATAAATAAATGTATATATTGATATAAATAATATAATATATAAACATACTTTGATGATTAAAATACATTATATTAACTATTGTTAGATAATTCAGATGTACAAGAAGCCAGACTTTTTTTTGAAACAAACTACAGTCATATCTACTATATTTTCTATGATGTCTTTATTGCTATAGAAGCCAACTTAAAACAACGGGGTAAGTAATATTTTTAGTTTATTCGATTGTAAAGTACAGATAATAGCTACATAGAGTAATTTATTATTTTGAAAGAGAATTAAAGATTTATTTTATGTCAGGGATTTCCAGTGGAGTTGATATAGACCCCCTAGAGTCAAGTTGGTTCAATGGAAAAATCAGATACTTATTGTACTTTTTTGCACATTTCAGATAATTTTCAAATAAAAATGATGATAATCATATGAGAAATTCATTAACTGATTTAATAATTTACTCATTTTATAATTTAATCCCAAGATTTTCATAATATTAATATATTATGAAGGTCTTGGGAAATACAATAACATAAAAATTTTAAGAGAGTTGATTGAAAAATAATGTTTTCTATATGGGAGTCAATGCAAGAAAAAGGTTGGGAACTCCTGTTTATATTATGAAATTTGACATTAAAGATACTTTAAATTAAATTATCTGTTACTATAACATTTTCAGTGTCCAATCTTCATTTTTAAATGCCTTTAACCAAGCTTTAAGTATTGTACCAAGTTTGAACATCAAACACTAAAAATTAAAGAATGGCTTTTTGAACTATTCTTGATAGTATTCGACTCTGCAAGATTTTTTGATCTTGGTCTTCTTTCTAAAGCAGTGTTTTTCAACCTGTGGGTCGCAACCCCCTGGGGGTCACGAAGCCTTACACGGGGGTCGCGGGTAAAAGAAAAAGACAAGTGTTTGTAGGTCATACACTACATTAAAAAACTATAATTTCAGCGAGAAGGCTATACCTGTTTATTTTACAATACAATTGGTTTTTTGATCGATATGTAGGTCTCAACCATGGGTGTAGCCAGGGAGGGGCATGAGCGGGTACGGCCCACCCCAGAAAATCATAGCTGTAAAAGTGTTGAGTTGATTTGCAGAAAGAAATAAAAAAAGTAGAAATGTAGAAGCTGAAAATTCTGATCCTAAAAAAAAAAGGTCAACAGCACCCTGTGCCCAATGTTATAATTAAAGGAAGTTTCATACTTTATGTGTGTTAAGTTATTGTCGATTCTTCCGAAATTTTCATTTTAATCAACAATAATTTGTCTCAACACAAGGAAAATTAAATACATAGTTTTTAAAATCACTGATATAGTTTTAGTATGGCCCTAGGGGGTCGCCAGAATTTTGTAACTTGTAAAGGGGTCGCGTATTCAAGAAGGTTGAAAAACACTGTTCTAGAGTATTATAGTCATTACTTACTTTTTTCATCACAAGATAATATAACTTAATTACAGAGTTAAAGAAAAACATTATCCATGAACAAATAATGCTTGTTTAAATGCAGATGATATTGAGTTGAGTGAAATAAATGTTTTTATGGTGTGGTATGACTATGGATGTTACAATTTCATTAATTGCAATGTACATTGCTATCATAGTCAGATGTTACATCATGTGATTGTAGCAAACTGGTTTATAAAAAATAAAATAATATACTATTTATAAATGTTACATATGTATAAGAGAAACATCATAATTATTTGTGACAATACAAAAGGTTATAAAATATATAATGCAATTAGTCTAGACATCTGTTGTGTACATTTTGTGATATTATTTTTATTAATTTCCATAACAATGATAAATAATGATTTCAGCTGTTACTATTTTAATAATAATCTTTTGTTTTTATATTTGATTTTTCTAAAGAGGACCAATTACCCTAACCAAATATATAAATAATGTTTATTTGACATATAATCTTGTTCTTTCTTATTTCTATTTTTATTTTTGAATTTTACGATTTAAATATGTGCACACATTCTAAGTAGGGTGCAATATATAAGTTGATATAAACGAAACTTTGACTGTCAGGCTATAATGAACTAATATCACTTAGTCCTATTTTGTAATGCAAAAGGAGACATTTGGAGAAGAGAGTTGGTCGGTGTAATATGGGGTCAAACTGTTACTAATGTTAACCATGTTTTTGTATATTCTGTTGTTAGTAGCTATCTTTGTAAACATGCTTCTAAACCTTTGTTGTTTTCATTATTATAAAGTGTTATCTGTTGTATTTAAAATAACCTCTGGATTATTGTCATAACTATGCATAGATTTCATTTATTTCTCACTTATTTCTCATACTTACTGTATACTCAGGAGAGAGACACTACACTCTTATTACACTATCTAAAATTTTCTGGCAGAAAATTCTTTATTTAACAACAAACATTTTCAACCTATTACCATAATTCAACTTTCTGTCTGTTTTTCTGTCTTAATCTTTTTTTTATGATGTGTTTCCAAGCTGAAGGTAATTCATTTCCATCAATAAATTCACATACAACAATGTTTGGGTTGGATTGTAAATGAGTTGACAGCTTACAAAAACTCGAGGTTAGTGTACAAAAGAGCACCTAATAATTACAATTTACTAAGGAATGATAAACTAAAGAAAGAGGAACAGTCTGGAGTATACAAAATACACTATAAAAACCAACAGTTAGGAGTAAAGAAGCAAATACAATGTGGAAAAATGTCATAGTAATTCAATTTTAATGGCAATATCATAAATGGAAGGTTTGGTTGTAAAGTTAGATGAAACAAACATTATTAAAACATTACTATGAACTTAAAAATAAAGATGTACAAGAGTGAAATTAAAGAACAATGCCTGAATGCTAGGGATGCAAATACATTACTTTTGTGGGTCGCCGGAGGTAGGACGAAGTCGTACCTCTTTTTGATAGGCAACAGTTTGGTGAGAACTGCCCACTGGTCAGTGGATGGCTTTTTTATGGTTTTTTCTATCCCGGAAAGTCGGGATTCTTTTGTCAGGTCGAGTGGAGGAGGAGAGAGGGGCTGTTGGTGAGGTGTAGACAATAGTCGAAATAAAGACGACTTTTAACAACAAACAAACATTTATTAAACAAAACTAGAAACTAACAAAGAGAATATATATCACTTCCATGGAGTTGGAAGGGCCGCGCCGAGAGAAAGTTCACAATACTTTGGGGTTTCATACCTCTGTTGAATTCAATGGCTAATATGGATAGACATTTGGATAGAGGTTGAGCTTCTCTCCAGTAGGTCTTCTAGGGAAGTCTCCTCCGGGATCGACGAGCGGCGGGATGGGTGGGTCAGCGGTGACGGTCTACGACGAGAGATGTTCATGGACGGCAAAGTCGACCCCCTTCTGTGGTCGTCCCCCCTTTTATATCTTCAGTAGATCTTATATCACGTTATCTTTTTACCCCAATCATAGATTTCTTTGGATAAGATCTGGTTGATTCAGCTTCAGGTTCCGGAGGGAAAGGAAGCTACTCCGGGGACGGGAAGATGAACATCCGCCCCCGAAAAAGGTTCGATAGCGCGAAAAAATAGAGAGTTTCTTTGTTTAAAATAAATGTTTTAATTCATTAATTTCGTCGTTTAAATGACTTAAACTCGTTTAATTCTATCCGAATTTCACACTTTTATTATCATATATTTGAATAAATAAGAGATACGGAATTATTAAAATGTGTTTATTAGTCATATACTAAAAGATTTGTAATTAAAGTACTCTTCAACACTGTTTAGAGTGATATTTAGTAGTCCAAATGCAACCAAATCTGGAATGGTTACATTTCAATACATATGCAAGTCATTTTTGTAAAAACAAATTAGTTTTACACCTTCATAAGACTAGGTGACAAGTATAGATACGTAACAAAACCAAAAATTTAGCACAAATGCTTAAAATTTTTGGTAGACTCATAGGCTCATTCTACAACTTAAAAATATTCTATGCGATTTAGCTTTCAGTTTTTGAATGTTGTATGTACTGTACAACTGTACAACATTCAAAAATTGTCGGTTGTTTAATACTACCTAAAACATTCGTTTTAAATTAAATTTTAAGTTTTTGTTCTAGATTTTTAGTTTTGTGTTTATCCAAAAAAAAAAAAAAAATTTAGTACCAAAGCTCATCACTTTTGCAGTTTTGTTGCAAACAACAAAACTGCAGTTTCTTTTGCTTAACTACACATAGTTGCAGACAAGTTCTGGGTATAAAAGTGACTATAGTTGTTAATTGCTATTCTTATCAGCTGTGGTGGACATCACTTTGCTGGAATGCTCATTTTCATATGAAAATTATGGCAACACTTTAGAACATAAGAATTTACACTGAGGACCATTTATTTCACAAGCTCCTAGGATAATGGTTACTCAGTTCAAGGAGACTAGATGTCTGGGAATTCAACCTGATAAAGGGCACAAACCTATCATTTCACAAGTTGTTGAAGATATTACCACAGCTGTTGTTGGACATTCAGTGAATAATGCATGTTCAGTTCAAGGCACTTAGGTATATTATGTGGCACAGTGTGGAAAGTGAGGTTTATGCATTGTTATTCATATAAATCAGCTACGATGAGTAGTTGGCTACTACCAATAGGGAAATCTGACTGACCTTTGCATTGACCTTGCTTGACAGAATGAAAGTGGTTATGTTGTTGCCATGGGACATCTTGTACAGCGAGAAGGCACATTTTTAACTCAGTGAACATTCATAACTGTTGCATTTGGGCCATAGAAAACTCCCATGTTTTCCAGCAGATTCTTCTGATGTCACCTAAAGTTAGTCTTTGTGGATTCATGATCACATTTATTCTTGGACCATTCTTCTTTGAAGAAGCCAGTCTCAATGGACCTATGGCACACACTGTGACAGGCTAGAGATGTCAAAAAATGCTCAGCACTTTCTGAATTCCAATTGCAACAATAACAATGCCTTAAGTCATCTGCTTTCAAGCAAAATGGAATGCCTTGATATATCAGATGCTGTGTACAGCAGTTTCTGGACAATTTTTCACTGATAATAGAGATAATGTAAGGTGACCAGGCAGTAGGAAATGCCATGACTAATTCATGGCATTTCCTACTGCCTGATCACCTTACTTTCCACATCTTAATCTATATGATTTTTGGTTGTGGGAACACTTAAAAGTTTAGTTTACCAAGGACATGTTCCAAATATGGTAGTCTTGAAAGACAGTATCATAATACTTGTGAAAAGCATTGCAGAAAATCTGTTAGCTGTTGAGTACAATGTTTATCTTCAAGTGTTACTTCTTCAGAATGGGGACCACATTGAGTAGTAGCCTCTGCAGAGGCTACTACTCAATTAAAATCTCTGTATAGCATGAGTGTCTTGAACAGATAAAATATTAGTTGTTGCAGTGTCAGAAGTGACATAATGGTATTAATTTTTACTTACATAGACATTTCAGGATATATGGAAACATCTTTCACTTGTCCTAAATATTACCTTATCGGATTTGGTTGTATTTGGACTGCTAAATATCTCTCTAGGCAGAATTTAATAGGAGTAGTTTCAATTACAATTGCTCAGTATAAATTATTTGTATCAAAATTTAACAAATTAAATATATAATAAAGCAATCAAATAATAATGCTGAATTCATCACGTGCTTATTCTCTGATGAAAAATTTCCTTAAGCAATTTTCAGCCATGCAGGCAACCTCAACCATGACTAGAAACAAAATTTATTCTGCTTGCACCGATTGCAAATGCTCATCCAATCAACAAACACCTTTGTGATACGTCATACGGTGGTATTTTTGAAAATAATTATAATCATGGTAGAAAGGGAGAATGGTATATCTTTAGAATTTATATTGATCGAGCTTATTTAGGCTCATAAATGCCTGTGGAGTTATAATTATTTGTTTTATTGAAGAAAAGCTAAGAGCACAGGCTTGGCATGAGATAAGCGAAAGTCTCACCATTGATTGTAAGTATTTTCATTATAAAATGTTGATTGATTTTAGTTTAGTAACAACAATATTATGTTAAATATAGCTAAAGAACTAAGTAAAAAATACCATCATTGTAAACAACATTCTTTTGCATTAAAAAAAATTATGACGATAGCAGACGAAGTGGATGTTGGTTTATTATAAGGTCATGTTTCCAAGATGCAATGCCAATGAACAATGTTACCGTGACAAGACGTACACTTGTTGCAGTTGTCTTCATGGTGTGACCATTGCTTTATGATCCAATGAATGTAGAATTAAGCATTTGATTAATTTATAATTTTAGACTTAAGTTTACCATATATGTTATAAAATAATTTGAATAAATTTATATTTTACATTTAACTCAAGTAGGCAAATTAAACACAAAAGAACTTTTTAAATTTAATTCTATGATAAAATTTACACAATTTAGGTTCAACACAGATGTATTTGTATTATCAGTTTCAGATCTTAACCAGGATCCATGGACCCCAAAGAGTTCATAGAAAAGTTTCAGAGGTCTATGAGCTTGGAATTTCAACTTTCTTATGTTTTAAATGTATTGTATTCTGAGAAGAGGTCTGTGACCTTCACTTAATTGAAAAAGGGGTCAAAAAAGATTAAGAACCTGCTTTAGAATATAGCTGACTTTGCAAATTGAATTACAATATACTGTAGCAAAGACTTAACTTATAAAATGATGAATTATATAAGTTCACTTAATTTGCATTCTATAAAACTTCTTTGGCATGAATTATGTGAATTATGATTACAGTTTGGATAAATTTTGAATTTGTAAATGAGTGTCTGAATGAAGATTCAGATTGTCTCACATACAATCTACATATTTTGTATATTCTTTATTAACAAAATTATTCATCAGTTTTTATTCAAACATGATACTTACAAATTTTTTTCTTTTTATAAAATATTTTTCTTTTTCATTGAATTATTTCAATCTTCAATAAATGAAGATTGAATTAATGCAATGAAATAAATGATTATTTTATAAGTTTTTAAAGAATATTAAAGTATATTTTTAATTATTATTATTTTTTATTTTAGTGCATAAAGCTCATAGAGAAGAATTGGATGTAATTCGTTACATATTGGAGGTATTGATTATTATTGATTTATTTATAAAAAATGTGCACAGCTTCTTCTTGCTTAATGACTTAGTTCCGTTCCTACGACTAAGTTTGTTAAATGAATTGGTTGATAAATCAGGAGCTTGATCATTTTTATTTATTCTGGATAAAGGAAAGGTCTAAAGCAGGGGTGTCCAACCTTTTTGTTCCTCTGGGCCACATTGGAAGAAGTCATGGAGTTTTGGGCCACAAGTATATATATATTTGTGACCCAATCCTTAAATATACTTGTATATTTAAGGATTAACATGTCTAGATTATAGTAATAAGTATTAAAACTTTATCACGGAAAAGGATATTTTAAAAAATTACTTCTACAGACCCTTTCAATTTTTACTTAGAAATAAATAAATTAATTTATTATAAAGGAGACAAACAAAAATTTATTTGAAAAACACAAATATTTGTTTTATTTGGGTTTCTAATTAATAAAAAACGGCGAAACACCATTTTAAAGTGCATTTTTATTCGACAAATATATTTATAAATAATATATAGCCCAGAAAGTAGCCAATGCGCGAAATGATAATTTTTA